TTTTTTCAAAAAATTTTCATTACAAATATACCATACGAGAGCCAAGAAATAAGGATCACCCATTGCTCAATTACATCGAAAATTGCATTAAAATTTTCACCATTGAAGCGCTTAAAGATCGTAAATTGATAAAGATAGCGGGTCTTCGCACAAGATATTTAGAAAAAATTAAATCACCAAGCATTCAAGATTTGATTGAAAATAAAAATTTTTAGTATGAAGTGTTAAAAATTAACCAATGTAAATAGTCAATTCTAACAATAAAAGCTTTACAAGAAAGACTCGTACAAACGATGTCTATCATCTTCATGATTTAAGCCACATTGTCCTTGACCTGTAAAAAGGGCTGTTGTTGCTCGGATTATCAAAGGATTGCAGAAACTAACCAAAAAACAGTTCTGCCAAATACTATTTCGCTAAATTTTGCTTCTGAAGGAACGTAAAGTGAGGTTTAAAATCTGAATTGTTTATTTTTTCTTTTAAGAATAACTTTACATAATTAATTTATTAAAAAAAAACTTTGACTACAAATGAAACGCAAGAGTTTTCCGATAATGCTACGCTTCTTACGAACGAAATGGAAGGCTTCTTCGATAATGCTACGCTACTGACTAACGAAACGTAAAGACTTTTTCGATAACGCTAACACTACAACAACGAAATGACGGACTTTGCATCAAGATTAAAATTTAAGTTAGATGCGAGAAAAGTCCATTATTGATACGGGTAGAACTGTTAATGGGAGAAGTGTTATATAGTCATTTTTATATATCAAAGCAAGTTAATCTTTTAAATAGCGTTGGCTTTGATAAAAATTACACGATGCAGAGTAATTTATTACAAATCGTCCCTTTATTATTGACTATGCAATAACCTCTTAACCCCTTGCTGATGTGATGCTGATGTACTTTGGCGGCGCTCACTGTGTAATATCCTAAAAAAATCCAGAGCATTTTGAAGTGGTCCATTGGTTCTGGCTGATCTTCCTTAGGGAGTAGTTAACCGCTGTGTATTACTCACACCCAACCCTTTATTTTATTTTATTTAAACATAGAAACAGACGATTCCGATCACGTTAACGCTACCGACAACGAAACGAAAGACTTTTCCGCGTCCAAGATTCAAAATTTGAGAAAAATCCATTTACAGATACGGGTAGAACTGATAATGGGAAATTGTTATGTAGGTAATATCCTAAAAAATCCAAATCATTTTGAAGTGGTCCATTGGCTCTGGCTGATCTTCCTTAGGGAGTAGTTAACCGCGGGAATTACTCACACCAACAATTCTTTTTATTTTTTATTTAACACAGAAACAGAAGATTCCGAATATTTTCCGATCACGCTTACGCTAACGCTACTTACAAACGAAATGACGATAACGTTACGTTACTTAGATAGTTTTTTTTCAAAAACGCGTCGCCGAAAAAAACTAAAGTTTTTTTTAAAATTTATTTTTATGTAAAAAATTTTTGATCAATCGGTAACTAGTTTACGTTTAATAAAAAAAATTAATTTTATATATAAATTTTTTAATTCATTAATTTATTAAAGTTAATTGAAAATTTTTAAAATTGATGCAATAAAGTTTAAGATTTCAATAAAATAAAAAACTTTACCTCCGTTTCAAATATGCTTTTCGCATTTACTAATAGCGCAGTAACTGCGGAAATATAATTAGTAATTGTTCCTTTAAGAATTTAAATAAAAAATACATTACAAGTTTCGATACATATTATATAAACTAAGTTCAATAAATTTTTGTGAATGGACATGTTATAAATTACACTTTATATTATGGAATTTTTTAAGAAAGTAAGAAATTCGACTTGTGTAACTATTGATTTATATTTCAATAATGTTGATAAAATCATGAATCAAAGTAGTAAATTTATCATTTCAAGATTCTAGTTATGGTAGCAGGTGCACTTATTTTTCATTAAGAACTTGAATTGATTAAAGTGTCCTTAGGAAATTATCTACCCTTACAATCGTGGCTATTTTTATCTTAATACCTCAACAGTTTCATCTAAATCATATAAAATTTATCTATCTGATTCTTTCTTCGGTGTCATGATTCTATTGAAATGCACAATTCGTCAAACATTCATAGTTTATAGAAATATTAGATACCATCAAGAGTAATATTCTTGTTTCTTTTGGTGGATTATTTGCGGAGAATTTATTCTCAATATGGTAATTTTTTTTTTCGTTTTTGTTTTAAAATTTACCCACAGCAGGAGGAAGAAAAGAAAATGGAAAATTAATTGCTATGATTATATTCTCTTATCTTCCTATTGGACTTCACAAGTAATTCAAACTTGGGTACATGTTACAACTTCCGGAGTTTTTTGCTACATACTATTTTCTTGCAGGAACACCTGTATGAGTCCTTTTATCAATCTGATTACCTTATAAGAAACAAATACCACGGGTGTCCCTTAATGATTGTGCCATACATTTACTCGTACAAATATCTTGTGATATTGCGTACTTGGATTATACATTTTTTTTTTTTAAAAAATAATTGATTTATCGATGGTATAAATAAAGAATAAAATTTAATTTAATCAAGGAACCTACGAATTCATAAGATATCAACAAGTTTATTTGTTATGTAAAATCAAGCGGGGCAAATCCGATGTGCTTCTTTGTCAAGTTTTACGAATTTTAGTTCTTTAAGGAAAATCCCCGTATGGAAAGTCTTTTGACTTTCCGATACTCCATTTATCTGTACTTAAAAGTTTATTATTTATTCAACGAGTTTCCTTAAATTTAGATTCATTTAAATTTTTAAGTCAATGGAACGAAAGTTTTATGCTCCAGACTATTATACACCAAAGACGCATCGCATATATTTTTGAATAATCCGATTTCACATCCTAAACTAAAAAAATTTGCATAATAACAATTTGTATGTAGCCAATTCCATCAAAAGATAAAAGTACGATAATAATTTTATGTATAAAATTATTTATTTGATTGTTTTCTTCAAAAGTTATTTAAGACACAAAGAACCGGTTTTCTTTTTCCCGTCGACTTTTTTGTATCCAAATCTTTTTTTAAAATAATGACATTCCCTATCTACTTTAGCACATAATCTTTACAACATACTCGTATTTTTTTTGCAGAATAATTCAGACGATTTTAATGCATGTGTCTTTTTTAAAAAAAAAAATTACAAGCCCAACTCCTTCTCTTTTTCAATGTTTAATAATTCCAAGGCTCGAATTTTAACTTCTTTCTCTTTAATAGCCAGCTCTCGTAATTCCAAGGCTCGTATTTTCACTTCTCTCTCTTTAATGGCCAGTTCTCGTTCCTTGAGAATAAGATGCCTTTCTTTCTTGACTAAATCTGTTTCGTTTGCTTCCAGTTCTTGTTCTTTGAGAGTAAAATGCCTTTCTTTCTCGGCTAAATCTGCTTTGTTTGTTTCTCTCTCTTTAATGGCAAGTTCTCGTTCCTTGAGATTAAGATGCCTTATTTTTTCGACTAAAGCTGTTTCGTTTGCTTCTCGCTCTTTAATGGCCAGTTCTTGTTCCTTGAGAGTAAAACGCCTTTCTTTCTCGACTAAATCTGCTTCGTTTGTATTTCTTTTACGTTTTGTTGATGATTTTATTTTGTGGATTG